GGGTAACACATCATCCGTGTAATACTAAGCAGCTATAAGAAAGCTCTTTATGCACTAATATGTAATGGTATTCAAAATATTTTTTTTTTTAAGATTTCATTTTTAAGTCATCTCTACACCCAACGTGGGGCTCGGATTTACAACCCCAATATCGAGAGTCACATACTCTACAGAGTCACCCAGGCGCCCCCAAAATACATCTCTTAATCTTAACGTAAGTAGTATGGTATGATATAATTTGTGTAAAATGTAACAGCGATGAATAAAATACATGTTTCTATTTATTATTTCTATTTCTTGTATAGGCAAGGCACACAACCTTTGACAAACTGCACAAAAACTGCTAACTGGCTATGGGAAAGTTATCACTTATTCTCTTAAAAAAAGATCTACTGGTTCAAAGCAAAAGCAGAAAACCTCTTTCTTTTATGGTCTCTCTCCACTGAAACTGACCAGTATTCTTTTTCTCCTTCTCTCCTATTACATTAGTAAGACTCTAACTAGGTTGCAAGAAAGGTAATAAGCCCAACGTACCTGAGGATGCTGACTGGCTTGAGGAGAAGTAAGAATAAAGCTCTGGTAAAAAACAGATGGAAAAAAATCTCTCTCTTCCTGACCATGTTCTACCTTCCACATTCTTGTACTCTGTAAGGCCCAAACTATACTTCTTACTTTGGGGGATCCGCTATATATCTCCTATAACTTTATAAATAAATGTCCCTCTTTTCCGTTGCCTGGGTGCCCTTCTGGGCAATGTCACATATGTTTACTGCTCGAAAACTAAGACTATCCCCATTTCATGCCCTAAAGGAACTGAGATGAGAAAGATTAAGTCACTTGTCCAAGGTCACACACTTCCGGAAGAGCTAGAATTTAAGCCAGGCAGTCTGACTCCACAGATCATGTGGGTGGTTGCCCCCAATTAGGTACAATTTATCCATTACCTGTAGATAACAAAGTACACTTGTAATTCAATGCAGATGATCGCAATCCAAATAAAAGATTTCCTGAGGTCTAATTTCAGGCATCAAACAACTGAGGTAAACGAGAATATCTTGAGGCATATTTTGTGAATGGGACCTTTATGAGGCCTTCCAACTTTGAAAGAGTTAAATCTGGTCCAATGAAAGACCATCACCTGTGCCTGAAGGCAACCAGTCAATCCGAAGAAAGACTAAACTTCAGTACAATTTTTTTTTTTAAAGATTTTATTTATTTATTTGAGAGAGAGAGAATGAGAGATAGAGAGCACGAGAGGGAAGAGGGTCAGAGGGAGAAGCAGACTCCCCGCCGAGCAGGGAGCCCGACGCGGGACTCGATCCCGGGACTCCAGGATCATGACCTGAGCCGAAGGCAGTCGCTTAACCAACTGAGCCACCCAGGCGCCCAACTTCAGTACAATTTTATTAGAAGCTTGAAATTGCCTGTTATTATTTACAATTTCCTACTGTTTGTGAAATTCTAACTAGAGAATTCACAAAGGACCAAGCCAGGATTGGATTTTAAAGAGACAAATAACCTAAAATGGGCACCTCTCCCCCAAGAGTAATGGGTTAGAGGATCCAGAAACAGACCCAAATAAATTAAGGAATACATTAAAGGTGACATTTCAAGTCAGAGGGGAGAAGATGGTTTATTCCATGAATGATGCCGAGATAACTAGTTAGGCATCTGGAGGCTGATCTTGGTGTAGTAACCAAAATAAATTCTAGGAGGAACAAAAATTTAAATATAAAAACAAACTATGGGTGAATTATTTTTTTTAAATATTGGAATTTACAAAAAGCCATTCAAAGCATAAGATCCAGAAGAATAGAAAGAAAAAGCAATAAATTTGACTACATAAATATTAAAAACATGTCCATGGTGGGACACCTGGGTGGCTCAGTTGGTTGAGCGACTGCCTTCGGCTCAGGTCATGATCCTGGAGTCCCGGGATGGAGTCCCGCATCGGGCTCCCTGCTCGGCGGGGAGTCTGCTTCTCCCTCTGACCCTCCCCCCTCTCATGTGCTCTCTCTCTCTCATTCTCTCTCAAATAAATAAATAAAACTTTAAAAAAATAAAAAATAAAATAAAATAAAATAAAAACATGTCCATGGTGCAAAAACAAACAACAACAAACAACGGTGGCCACCAACAAATTAAATGACAGATACACTGGCAGGAAATATTTGCAACATATTTGACAAAAGGACTAATTTCCTGAATATATAAAGAATTCAGACAGATTACTAAAAATGATTAACAGCCCAACAGCAAATGGCAAAAGACACAGCAAGTTATTTTTAGGAAAAATTAATAATAAAAGAAATAAAAAGGCTCATAAACATGGGAAAAAATCATAAAATTGAAGAAATGCAAATTTAAAACAGTGCTACACCACATCTTACATCCAACATAAGAGACAATATAGTGTAATGGTTAAAATTGATGGCTCTAGAGTCAGAATACTTGGGATTAAATGCTGGCCCTACCCCTTACTGTGTATGCCCCAGTTTCCTTGACCGGGGTGGTTGTAAGAACAAAATGAGAAAATGTAACATAAAGCAATTAGAACCGTGGCTGGCATATAGTAACTATGTTCATTCTTATTATCATATTGACAAAAACGGTAAAAACAGTAGTGTGGGAAAGAGGACTGGGCCTCTCAGATACGGTCCGATGATGTATAAACTGGCACAATGTCTTTGGCAACTTGCATTCTAATTGCACAAGCCATTTGACTTTGCAATTCACTTTTAGAAATGCATCGTATCGATCACATGTCCATAAAATTATAACCTATCTATATATATTCATAAAGATATATATATATAGCTTTTCAGTGCAAGACTGTCTGTAGCAGGGGCGCCTGGGTGGCTCAGTCAGTTAAGTGTCCAGCTCGGTTTCCACTCAGGTCATGATCTCAGTTTCGGGAGATTAAGCCCCATGATGAGCTCCCCACTCAGCGAAGAGTCTGCCTCCCCTCGCTCTCCTCCTCTGCCCCTCCCCCTGCTCACGCACTCTCTCTCTCAAATAAATCTTTTTTTTATTTTTATTTCTAAAGATTTTACTTATTTATCTGACAGACAGAGACATAGCAAGAAAGGGAACACAAGCAGGGGGAGTGAGAGAGGGAGAAGCAGGCCTCCCGCCGAGCAGGGAGCCGGATGCAGGGCTGGATCCCAGGCCCCTGGGATCATGACCTGAGCCGAAGGCAGACGCTTAACGACTGAGCCACCCAGGCGCCCCTCAAATAAACAAATCTTAAAAAGAATGTCTATAAGAACAAAAGACTGGAAATAACCTAACTGGTCATCCAAATGGGACTAAATAAATACTTGATGGTGTATCCTAAAATGGAATAACATACTATCATGAAAAAAACATCCCCAAGATAGTAAAAAAACAATCACAGAACAATGTGGAGATCTTGCTTGCCACTGTTAGTGTTAGAATGCATAGAAGATTTCTGGAAGGAGACACAAGAAATAGTAAAGGTAGTTACTATCGTAAGAGTAACACCAATCGCCTCTGAGGAGCAAGACTGGGAGTTGAAGTCAGATGGAGATTTGCTTTCCATTAAACATCCTTCTGTAAAAATGGAATGATTCCCCCCACGTACATTACTTTTTCCATTAAACAAAAACTAGTTGATTTTTTAAAGTAAGAGTGCAGTCATCAGATAATCTTACAACTCTATCGGAAAAGCATACCAGCTGAAGACAGAAGTTCTAAGAGAAATGCTGGTTGTTTGGCTATCCCTGGCTTTGAGGACACAATGGATGTCCTAGAGCAAAGTCCTTGGTTCTGAAGGTTATCAATCTAGAGTGTTGAGAACCACAGGGATACACAGAAGTCCGCTTTCCAGACCTCACGTTCTCCAGCTGTTTCCCATGTGAGCCTACTGAACAAGGGCTGTTTTACCTCCCTCTCTCCAAGTGTAGGAGTGCTCTTATACTTTATGTGTCAGTTGGGATGATGACTTTGGGGGGAAAACTGGGACAACTGTCCCCCTATAATGCTCTCTTGGTTCTCAGTGATTTTGAACAACTTACTCGTTTTTTCCTTTCATCTTCACATCTTACGTTATAAATAGACTTACAACTCATAAGGCAGTTTCACTTTCTCATTAATTCTGACAACCCAGGAGATGGATATGATAATGCCATTTCAGACAAGTCTCGGAGGGGTTGCCCAGTCCCTCCAATATTAGGTTTGTGTCCTGGCACCACCACTGAGCTCTCCAAACCTGGCACTTTCCACAGCATCGCTTTCTCCATCCCTGCCCAGTCTCCCGCCACTGGCTCCCAATTCTACCTCACCCCTGACAGCACCACGCACCTGTGGTCTTAGGCCCTGCGATCCTAGAGGGAGGGAGAACAGAGTCATTCAAGGACAAAGGACAAGACATGCTTTTTCCTTCTGGAGATAAATCTGAGTCGCTTTTTAAAACATTATTCCTTTGTTCCTCTGAGAAAATGAAGAAGTGGACCCTATAAACTGAGTCTCACCAGTACCTACTATGCAGTGATACTGACCAGCCACCTCCCACTTTATCCCACGTACCCTGTAAAGGCAGCTAAGTTATCTTCACAATATAAATGAGTCTACAGAACTTAGAAGGGGAGCCAATCGTTTAATGTCACACATCTCCTATGATGCTACGTCGAGTGAGGACTCCAACCCCAGCGCCTGGCTCTCAAGTCCGGGGTACATTCCAGCACACTGCCCCCAAAACACAGTGCTTGGTGTTCCACGGTTTGTTAAGATGGTTAAAGACCACAGTCAAGGACAATCCAGAAGTTCTTAAGTAGGGTTAAGTTATGCTATTATAAAGACAGGGCCACTCTTCGGCTCATTTTTTCATATTTATTTACTTTGTCTCTCGTTATCTCTAAAATGAAAACAAACCTGAATTTCCAGGGAAAGGTTGGGGCAGTGTCATCCAAGAAAGTAAGTAACAAGTAGAAGGGGCCGGCAGGCCTGGAAGGTCCGCCTTCCACGGTTGCCAGGCAACAAAGGTAAACAGCACAAAGTGGCAGGATCATGGCCACTAACTACAGTGCCAACCAGGTAAGCTCTTTCCCCATCTCTAACATTGAATTTTGCGTTTGGACTGACCCTCCCAGAGGATTCTGATTATTGAATGAAGAGCTGAACATGGGGTGAGATGGTATTTTTCACTTCTTTAGCTTGACAGGTAGCGAGGGCCCGTGGACAAGCAAAAGGCCTCTCAGGGTTGTTTGTAGGATCTACATAAGAGGTCAGCAGGGTTTTTTCTGTGAAGGGTCAAAGGGTAAATATTTTATTTTTAGGGCCATGTTGCAAAATCAGAGATGTTTTGTAGGTACTTAACAATAGCAAGAGAAAATATTTTTCCATAAATTTTTTGACAAAATTGAAAATATTGTAACTTAATTTTTTACAATACTAGTGAAAAAATAGAATTCTTTTGGGATGAGGAAACACTTTACTTCATTGGGATGCAAAGCTACCGTTCCCTTTTATCAAATCAATTGCAAATATCCATCTGTAAAAACCATTCTTTGCTTTCTCAGGTCATCCCGAGACAGACAGGAGGATGGATTGGGCCCATGGGCCACATTTGCCCACCCCTGGTCTAGACCAGGACTGCCCAATAAAAAGATAATGCGAGTCACAAATGTAATTTAAACTTCTCTAGTAGCTATATGAAAAACACTAAAAAAATAAAATTAACCTTAATAATATATTTAACCTGGTAAGTCTAAAATATTATTTCAATGTTTAATCAATATTTAAAAAGGTATAATAAGATGCTTACATTCTCTTTTTTTGTACTAACTCTCCGAAATTACAAAGCATCTCCATTGGGACTAGTCACATTTCATGTGTCCGATAACCACATGGGGCTAGCGGTGCCATGTTGAACAGTACACATTTAGACCAAAAAATGACATCCCTTCTATAGTGAGTTAAAGCCTAGCTTGCCTGTTCAGGTCTTTGGTCCTCAACTCTAAAGAACTGTGCCTCGTCATCATTTCCCGGGCACAGGGCCTTCGAGCCTCACAGAGATTCTCATCTTTCTCTCCACAGTATGAGAAAGCTTTCTCACCCAAGTATCTACAGAACTGGTCTCCCGCCAAGCCAACAAAAGAGGTATTGCATGTGCAGTGCTCCCAGAGCACCAGTTTCTGATTCTTTCCACCACGTTCTCTGTAACTCACTGGCACCTAATTCCTTTAGCCACCTCTAAATTCCCATGTTCTCCTCTCCCTCAGCCCTTAACTTGAACCCCTTGGATACCTTCAGTCTCTTTTCCACTCCATTTTCACAAGCAGTTCTCTCCTCACCTCCACCCAGAGAATTTCTTCCCATGAAGGCTACACTCAGATTATCGTCAATGATCGTGGTCATCTGTTGCCGTCGGTGCCCCGTTCCAAGGTGAGATACTGATCCCCACTCCCAGTGAGGAAGGTGAAGAACTGGGGCACGGAACCGGAATAACCGAGATGGGAGGTTTGCAATCTAGCACGGCCACTACCTGGAAATTAAAGTTCAATCTAATTCCCACTGCAACATGACTGCCCCCAAACTTCGAGCCAGTTTATCCGACACGCTAGAGCTGTCCTTAGCACCCGGAACGCCTTGAACTGATGAATGAACGCCTCCACACGATGACACTTACGCAGTGAGTACTCTGCTAGACTAGCCTAAGGACACGGAATTTAAGTTAAGCCATGAGAGTTAATGTGATGAAAAAATCAGGGTAACCTAAATGAAAAGGGGGTAAAGGACGAGTGGGGAGACTGGGAGACTGTGCTTTCAGTCTGATTTCATTACCATGCATCCCAAGGGTGAAGGGTGGAAGGAAGACAACAGACCTGCCAATAGGCCAGTAGTCCTGGGAGAAGCCTGTTGAAGAACCTCATCTTCTTGCTTTTAGGCAAGTCCTTGGGGATCTTTCATGGGTACCTGGCAAATGCCTCTGAAGATACCCCCTGCTCGGGTGACCCTGACCTCCCGTACAATTGCTGGTGCTGCCTCCCTCACCAATTGGATACAGAAAAATCCTGATTTGCTCAAGGCTTCCAACGGGCTGTGTCCTGAAATCTTAGGCAAGGTATCTATTCCTCCCACCTAGCCTCAAATCCTATTACCTGCATTTCTTTTCAACCTTAAAAAATGCCTGTTATACCACCACTATCCCAGCAGGGGGAACCTTTAGCCAACTCTGTCTTATCCTATCTAGTCGTGTCTTCTCACACCTAAAGAGATGTGCTAAGGACATCTTCCCCTCCCAGTACAAAATGATCTGATCTGACCTTTTGTCCATGGTATAGGGAGAAAGGGAGTGAGAATTCTAAGATGGATTGGGAATGATCTAGGCCTGACCAGAAACATGACTGTCTCTCCCATTCTACCCAGCAGCCTCATGATCCAGACGGTCAGAGAAAACTCGGGAAGCTTACCACAAAAACTGTACAACAAGCCTCGAGTCCAACCATAATTCCCAGCTCCCCAGCTGTAAATCTCAATTCCCCAGACCAACCCCAAAGCTCACACCCCTCTGCAGGTCACACTCCAGGTCCCCAAAGCCCAGCCAACTCTCTCAAGAGCCCACCAGGGAGCCCATGCATGCTGGAACACTGGGCAGGTCCTAACTCAGCTGCGGTCCAGAAATACAAACCTGGAATTCCAGAGGCACCAAGGGACCACACTGAGAAAACTTGTCTAGAGACTGAGTGATGTAAGCAGGACTCCCAGTGAGGGACGTAGAAAGGGGAATTATAGGGTGGGAATGAAGGCAAACTTGGAAAATAAACATCATTTGTTGAATCTATTACTGATTTGGATGTTTTTTTCCTCCTGGTATGGCTGTCTCTTGTAACCCATGACTAGGAGGTGGGTTGGGGGAAATAGAGTAGGAAAAAGAACACGGCAGTGGCTTGAGGTAGAACACATTTTTACAAGGATTGAATCAGCTATCCTCCAAAAGTGACCAAGAGGAAGCTGGTCTGAACTGTAGCAAAAGAAACCTCAGGGGCGCCTGGGTGGTTCAGTCGTTAAGCGTCTGCCTTTGGCTCAGGTCATGGTCCCGGGGTCCTGGGACGGAGCCCTGCCATCAGGCTCCCTGCTCCGCGGGAGGCCTGCTTCTCCCTCCCCCACTCCCCCTGCTTGTGTTCCCTCCCTCACTGTGTCTCTCTCTGTCAAATAAATAAATAAAATCTTAAAAAAAAAAAAAAAGAAACCTCAAAGAACCAGTCTCTCACCCCCAGCCCCTCATTTTTCATCCTGAGCATGCACAACTACTTCTAAGTCAGAAATACGATTGTTTGGTAGAGAATGCATATGCATATCTGGAGAAGATGGAGGAAGAAAAGGGAAGGGAAGCCAGAGTAGAAGACATTATCCTTGTCTACGACTTCACGTCTGACGACAGAACACACAGGGAAGACAAACTAGAGAGAGTTATAAAAGTAAAACTCAAGCAAAAGTACATACACAGTTTGCAAAGTGAAAACACAGAACTGACTGGAAGTCAGAGAAGAAAAAGAGAGAGATGGTAAGTAGAAATTTAGGGCAGAATAACAAACACGAGGACTACTGTACCCCAACCCCAATCAAAAAGGGGTAAGAAGTTCCCTATCCACTTCCCAGCTTCCAACATCTGCTTATCATTCTCCTATTCTGTGGGCTTCCTGCCGATGGCTGTTCAGTGTAATGCCCTTGCCAAACCCCTCCCAGCTCCAATGCCAAAGTGTTCCCTCATGAACCCTTGTCCCCTACACTCCAAGGACAAGTACAGAGGACATGGGGTTTAAGCTGGAGGAAGGCTACAAAGGCTTCCCAGGGCTAGCCCAGCAAGAAAGGAGAAGTGATCGTCACGTAAAGGAGAAGACCACTTGGGAGCCGAGAGGAAGACTGTTGAGGCAGCAGGTCCCCACTATCTTAGCTTCAGTGAGGTCGTCCTGTCCAGCTGCCACCAATTACAGTCACCGCTCCTCCTCTCCAACCCGCTGCTTTAACGGGCTGGCCAGCAACTCAGACAAGATAGATCTGCTACCCTTGTGTTTCCAAAAACTATCAAAACAGCACTCCTGCCAAGGGAGTTAGAGATTCAAGAGGCTGGCCCATATGGATTTTAAAAGCAGCAAGCTTGGGGCACCTGGGTGGCTCAGTCATTAAGCGTCTGCCTTCGGCTCAGGTCATGATCCCGGGGTCCTCGGATCGAGCCCCGCATCAGGCTCTCTGCTCAGCAAGGAGTCTGCTTCTCCCTCTCTCACTCTGCCTGCTTGTGTTCCCTCTCTCACTGTGTCTCTCTCTGTCAAATAAATAAATGAAATCTTTAAAAAATAAATAAAAGGGTGCCTGGGTGGCTCAGTTGGTTAAGCGACTGCCTTCGGCTCAGGTCATGATCCTGGAGTCCCGGGATCGAGTCCCGCATCGGGCTTCCTGCTCAGTGGGGAGTCTGCTTCTCCCTCTGACCCTCTTCCCTCTCGTGCTCTCTCTCATTCTCTCTCTCTCAAATAAATAAAATCTTAAAAAAAAATAAATAAATAAAAGCAGCAAGCTTTCCCGTTACATTACAAATTTTTGCCAGGTCTTCAACGATCCCTCCCTTATCTCTACTCTCCTTTCTCTACCAGTCTACATACTTAGCTCATCATCCCTTAGCTGCCCCTCCACTGGTCCTCTGGCTCCCTTACTGGATCATCATTTGCTGAATTGTACCCTGAGGTTTATGAGCAGTTCTCAGTGGAATTCTGGAGCCTGTGATAATGCAAAGCTTCCACATGCTTAACCTCCTTTCTCTTGCTCCTTCCTTCTCCGAGGCTTCTGCATGATAGTCGATCTCTGGCTACTTGCATTTGATTCCCTAAACACTGTTCCAACTGTCAGCCGCAGGACAAGCTGATTCCCTCCCAAGAAAGGTCAGATTGGGGGATGTAAATGCCTGAGACCAGAGGGAGAGGGAGGAAATTGGATCCTCCCCAACCGCCATTCTCTTGGTTTCTCTAGATTTCAGTCAAAGACAAAATGAGTATTTTAATTCAGTTTCAGAAACAGATGTCACATGAATTTGGATTAGAAAAGAGGCTTGTTTTTCCAGAAATGCGGGGGGGGGGGAACAACCCTTAATAGGTTCACTGTAATCTTCTGGATCTTCCTTTTGCATTAAAAGCTATATATCTTCTCCCCAAAACACCTGCTTTCAGAGTCAACTGACCCTCTTTATCTCCAGCTAGCTGGGACAGGCTAATTCCCCTCCACCCCCATCCCTCTTCTTTTAGTCATACTGTGTGGGAAGACCCTGGGCTCTGACCAATGAACACAACTGTCCTTTAAGCTAGCAACCCACAGGCAACGGCACCCAAAGCCCCACAGCAGAGGCCATAGAGCCTCCACTGTTTCCACTGTCTTGGGAAGAAGGAGCCAAAAGCTGACCATCAGCACAAATCAAGGCCCAATATGGAGAGAGAATGAGGGCTTCCAGGCCCAGAGAAGGCTGCAAGCTGGGGGCAGGAAAAGGGAAGTTTTGAGTCATTCCATCTTTAGAAACAAGGGAGGAAACCGGACCCTCTTCCACTGCTTGGGTTCTAGGAGGTACTCTACTGTCACTAAGCTCCGAGGGGATGTGCAAGCACAAAAGGGTCTAAATAAATCGGGAGAACTCAGTCTTGGCTGGAGAAGAAAGTGACAAACAGGAAGACAGGTCAGTGAACCATTTATGAGAAGACAATGCTGGGAACTTCAGGTCTTCACATGGCTGCCAGCCCTACAGAGGACAACACAGTAAGAACCAAGACAGCCACTCCCGACTGGTACAGCTGGGGAATCTTCAGGCCTTTCCCTAGGTCCCATATCTGCAGAAAAAAGAAAAGAAAAAAAAGAGAAGAAAGAATTTCAGCCATCAGGGCCCTGGGTACTCTCCTTTCTGAGAAAGGAGCTCCACCTCATGGAACGGGCAACTGGTCTTGGCGTGGTTCTAGGGAAAAGCACTTCTCCTGGACCCTGCCTTTCTCAAACCCACAACGTGGTACCTACCACCCACTTGTCCCGGTGACAGAAAAGGCATATATACAAAGTATAGCCCCTATATACAAAAGCTTCCAGACTAAAGAGATAAAACTTTCCCTCATGGAACAAAGCCAAATCAATGTTTCCCAAAGTGTGTTCCTCCACAAACTAGTTCTTCAGAATGCTAAAAGGTGTTGCATGGGGGAGAAAAGTTCCATGGTCGAATAAATTTAGTAAACATTTACTGCAAGACTTTTGAAACAATTTATTAACATACATGGGGAAGTTCCAACAGGGATATAAGATACATGGTTTCTTAGATACAGTCAATCACAGAACCACCACCACCTCCCCCCACTTGAGAAGTAACACTCAGTCAGAGAACTAGAATTCTGAAAAACCCTCTGGGATCTAGAACACTACTTCTCAATTTTGTTTGCCAGTATATTTACAGCAAAAGTTCATGAAAGAATAAGCAATATTTACCATTAGTATGTATGCTGCATTCTATATATTATGTGCTGTTAAATTTCTGGGGTTTTTTGTTTTTTGTTTTTAAAGTAAGCTCTGCACCCAATGTGGGGCTTAAACCCACGACCCCAAGATCAAAAGCCACACTCTCCACCAACTGAGCCAGCCAGGAGCCCCTAAATTTCTGGATGTGTTGGTAATAACCCACTAAATTGGTTTTCTACCCACTACATCAAAAACCAGGGTTTTAAAAACACTGATCTAGCCTCTCCTGTACCCCAGGGATACTAACCTATTATACTCTAAGTCACTAAAAGATCCCCTAGGGCAAAAGTAGAATTTTTAGGTTCTACACTTTCCATACTTGACTGCCCGGATATAACACAAACACCCACACTCTGAATGTTAAACTAAATCAGGAGTACTTAAGAGAAAATTTAGAGAGAACCAGAGGGGGGGGGGTGGAGAATCAAGGCTCTACTTAGATCAGATTAGGAGTCAAGCAGATCCCACATAGAGCTGTTTTGCTTATATAGGCACAGTGTTTTACCAAAAAAAATGGAGTCCTACTGGCGGGTGGTGATGGGGGGGTACTCTCTAGAAGGCCAGAGATCTGGTCACTTCCCACTCTTCTATCAATTCCACTCCCCTCTCCCCATTAGATCTTCTGGAAAGGCAACTATCAAGCTCAGAGGGCAAGAGCTATGACTGTCTGTCATGGAGAACAGATCAAATCCTGTCCCACACTCAGAGCCAGTACTTGCTACAAGAAAAAATAAAAGCAGAGTTAAGGAGTAAGAAAAGCCTTTAGGCTCCTCACTTCTCTCAACGAAGAGATTACCATTACAGGCAGGAACCAGGGCAGAAAAACCTTGACTGAGTTCTGAGATTTTACAAAACCTCTTCCCCTTCCCTCCCCACAGACTGAGACAAAACCAAATATATGGTAAGCCCTGCTAGAGCCCGGATGTGAACAGAGGAAGCTGATCAGCTGACTTTCATTAGAGAGACTGGTTCTGTGGAATAAGAAGTCTAATGGAAATGCCCTCCTTCTCTATCCCCTCCCAGAGGGAAATGAATTCATTGTGAATCAAACTTAACACTGCCCCAGGGAACAGTTGATAGATACACTTAATAGGTCATTTAGTCTCTCACTTTTCTGATTCCACTAAACTGTCTATTTTCTGATTCCACTAAACTGTCTATTGGACCAGACTGAAATCCAGAGTGTGTGCCTCTAGATTCTGATGTGGAAA